CATTTCAAACTTATTTAAGATGTTAAGGATGTCTAGGATTTTCCAAAATCAATTTATTGACGCGAAGTACGCTTTAAGGTGTAACATAAATGTTATATAAACATTATTCAATTGGTGTAAGCGTTAGAAAAAAATTTCACTAATTGAGCTTCACCACGTAAAAATATTTTTATCGAAACTATATTTTTCCAAACGGGTAACGTCTCTTATCCGGAGACTATCGCACGTATCCTCTTGAAATTTTCTTCTTTCTTTTTAGATTCACAGTAACATTGTCTGGTAAACTACTTACGATTTATTTCATTTGTTATTTTTTATGAACAATTTTCTGCAATTTTTTTTTGTTAAAAAATTTAACCTTTTTTACAGGTTCACTATTTTGCAAAAATTCTACGTAAAGCTAAAAAGTTAGTAATTGACCAGCCAGTCTCATGTAGATTAAGATCCTGTTTTGTTTATTGTTTTCGATAAAATCTATAATCACTCTCGCTCGTCGAGTTTGTATTAAGAAAGGTGATTCCAAGATTGCGTCATAATCAGCATGGAAAGGCTAAATTCTATTAATTTTTACTTAGTCTCAGAATAAATTGTCAAAGTTAGACATTTTTTGAGGACTCTAACTGGTATAGTCCTTTAAAACTTAAAGCACATGAATTTATGCGAAAATTATCGACACGTCTCTTTTTTGAATTAAAAAATTATTAGAAAATGTAAAATTACATCAATTGAGCTAGACAGGAGATCAAAAGTTCAAAAAGAACTTATCAGGCCAGCCTCGTAGTTTAAGTGTCTCTTTACAGCTAATAGCCTTAGTTAAAGTAATAAATTGACTTATGTGCTCATCTCTCATGCAAAATTGCTTTTGTTTACAACCAGACATTGCAAATTTTACTCAATAATTAATTTATTAAATTTAACTGGAAACATAAAATTACAATTGGAATTTTAATTGCAATATACGAGTGTGATAAATGTTTTCACTTATATTTATGGAACTGTTAGTTGTGCATCAGTTGCAATGTATACAAAATGCTGTGGCATATTTTATTGGTGTTACATGTATGTGTATAAAGACATGTATTAAGGCGGTCCTTAAAAAATGGAAAATAATTTTTTACAGATTTCATGAAACTCACTCATGAAACTACGATTGAAGTGGTATTATCAAGAATTCATAAAAATAAAAGTCGTGACTGGAGGTAGAAAAAACGATTCGAAGCGAAGAGTGAAACATTTAGACTCTTATATAGGTACTAAAATATTTAAAATATATTTTTTGTTAAAAGTAATACCTAAAATTGTGCACGCCTTATATACAAATATATAATTTAGGTATACATACATATATAGATATTATATATTCTATATCATTGGTTTCACAGCTCCTTTCAGATTACGCCAACCATCCTCAATTCAGACCAAATTTTTAAAATGTATTTTTTGACTCAAAAACTATTGACTTTATTGTATGAAAAAAAAATTTTCATGATGAATTTTTCAATGGCAATTAATTATTTCAACTTGAACTTTGGCAGACCTTAACTCGATCGGCAACAAATTTTTTCATAAACCTTTTGACCTGTAAATAGTTGCGTAATATAATAATCGTTTCCTCAACTATTTAAGGACCACCCTAATATGTATATGATTAATGTGCAAGTTTTGTGAAATCTCTTAAATTTTATATTTCGAGCCGAAGCTTGCACCTCCGCTGTAAACTGCCGCACTGTCTTCGTGCAAATTGAAGTGGTTAAAGAGCTCATCAAAGTCGCTGAATAGCTAAAATAAAAGCGAAAAAAACACTTTCAATTACACACATTCAACGTAAATGAGCCGTCGGCGGCAATAACTCACCTGTGTCGAGCTATCCACATTCGGTACTAAGTAGTCAAATTTGTTGGCGCTCCCTGACAACACCGTCGCCGCTGCTGTTGCGCTTGCGGGCACTATTGGCGCGTTGATAATGTTGAAATTTTGGTATGTTTGGGTCTTATATGCATTGCCATGTGTGCCTTTGTGCAGACTTGGTGTTATATCGAGATATTGTGCTGAAAATTTTTAGTGTCGTTAATAAAGCATTTATGAATGAATGTATGCCGAAATGCAAGTATACTCTTCTTCTTTGGCTGCAGTTTCACTTGATTGAGTTGTGAGTTGTGTAACTGTAGTTGTCTGTATGTCGGATAGGCGCTCTTTGCGGGGGTTGCATCGGTTAAGTGTCCATGTATTTGTGGATAGAGGTAAGTAGTCTCAATCGATGGTGCATTCTGGTGATGGTATTTGCCTGCTACGGGCGTGTAACGACCATCCGAGCTGAGCGCTATTTGGAAGAGCACTCTGTGACTTTTATCGTGGTAGTGGTAGACCTAGATAAAAAAAAATTATCATAAAAATATTTAGAATAATTGTTATAGCTGGTTGGCTGCATTTTAAATGATTAAACTTACAAACAAGAACTTATACCATATATCCAACCTGTCTTCTGTTGTATATTGTACCAACAACTGGTCAATTTAGCGGTTCTAAAATAGCTTAACTGAGTGTACTGAATATTGTGTCTAATATTTTATCCTATATAAGTGATGCATTTTTAAGGGAAGAGTTTTTTGATTACACATGCCCCCAAGACAACAGAAAAGGAAGCAAACACTCGAACTCTGGCAAGATCGGTGAACAAGGGAGCGCAAAGAAAGATGGACCGCCAAATTGATCAAAGATATAGAGATATGGCACTGTAGAAAACACGGCGAGGTGAACTAGTACAATACTTAAAGCAGATGCTCTCCGGCCACGGGTACTTTCGAAAATACCTGTACAACATTGGAAACAGAAACCCCTGCATGTATATACGGAGACGAGCCACTGGGCGATGCAAACCATACGTTTTTTTAAGTGCCATCGATAGAAAGAAGCTCGCAGAACTTTAGAAAACAAAGTAGGAGAAAACCTAATAGAAAACGGCGGCGAAAACTGGCAGTACATTGCCTCGTACGTGGATATGTACTACGCACTAAAAAAATGGACATGGACACAGATCCTCCACTCAAGGACGCAAAGAGAGTAGAAACTGACCTGCAATGGGTTCATCTTGGAAACCTTGCATTGAAGTAACGCGAAAGCGGTCCCGTGGCAAGGGAAAAATCCATAATAGAAGGGGGGAGTATTTTAGTGGGTACACCACTCACGTAGAATGACGATCCCTATATGGTGCGAAGGCATTTTAAACACTCCTTACGGCCTAAAAAAAACAACGAGGGCCCAACGTTTTTCGGTAATATTTAATAGCACTAATATAGATCCCGTTAGCTAAAACGATA